GGAGAATAATCTTGAATGCATTGGTACAAGATTCAACTTCCTGAAAACTCATAAAGCAGGCACTAAAATCAACAATTAGTAAACAGGACCTCATGAAAATGAAACCTTCTGTAAAGCAAAGGATACCATCAATAATAGACAATAGAAGCCTACAGAAAGGGAAAAGTTTTTCTCCAACTCTACATCAGAATTATTTCTTTTAAATTTACAATTAAAAAATGGGGAACAGAGCTAAACAGAGAATTCTCAAAAGAGGAACATCGAATGGCAGAGAAACACTTAAAGAAATGCTCAACCTCATTAGCCATTAGGGAAATGCAAATCAAAACGACCCAGAGATTTCACCTTATACCCATCAGAATGGCCAAGATGAAAAACTCAAGTGATAGCACATGCTGGAGAGGTTGTGGAGAAAAGGGAACCCTCCTCCATTGCTGGTGGGAATGTAAACTGGTTCAACCACATTGGAAGTCAATCTGGCGCTTTCTCAGACAACTAGGAGTAGTGCTACCTCAAGACCCAGCTATACCACTCCTAGGTATATACCCAAAATTTGCTCAAGTACACAACAAAGACATTTGTTCAACCATGTTTGTAGCAGCTTTATTTGGAATAGCCAGAACTTGGAAACAACCCAGATGTCCATCAATGGAGGAATGGATACAGAAATTGTGATATTTTTATACAATGGAATACTACTCAGCAATCAAAAAGGAGGAAATCATGAAATTTGCAGGCAAATGGTGGGATCTAGAAAAGATCATTCTGAGTGAAGTATCCCAGAAGGAGAAAGACAAACATGGTATATACTCGCTTATATAGACCTACAAGATATGATAAACATAATGAAATCTACACACCTAAAGAAGATAATCAAGAAAGTGGACACAGGGGAAGGTGATTAATCCTCACTTAGAAAGACAAATGGGATGTGCATTGAACTTATGACAGGAGTCTACCACAAAAGGCATCTGAAAGACTCTACCTAGCAGTGTTTCAAAGCAGACACTAAGACTCATAACCAAACCCTCGGCAGAGTGCAGGGAATCATATGAAAGAAAGGAAGTTAGTATGGTATGGAAAGGATAGGAGCTCTACAAGGACCAAATATATCTGGGCACAGGATCTTTTCTGAGACTGACACTCAACCAAGGACCATCTATGGATATAACCTAGAACTTCTGCTCGGATGTGGCCCGTGGTAGCTCAGTAACCAAGTAGTTTTCCAAAGTAAGGGGAACACGGACTATTTCTAACAGGATCTCAAGGGCAGGCTGTTTGACCCCCCGCCCCCCAGGGGAGGAGCAGTCTGTTAGGCCACAGAGGAGGACTTTGCAGCCAGCCCTGAAGATACCTGATAAAACAGGGTCAAATGAAAGGGGAGGAGGTCCTCCCCTATCAGTGGACTTGGAAAGGGGCAGGGAGGAGACCAGGGAGGGAGTGTGGGGTTGGGGAGGGAATGAGGGAGCGGGATACAGCTGGGACACAGAGTTAACAAAATGTAACTAAAAAGAAAAATAAAATTAAAAAAAATAAAAACAACAAAAAAAAGAAAAAAAATAAATTTACACACATCCACTAAACTACTCTGTACCTTTCATTTCCACTTCCAACAAAGTGATAGAGCAGAATAAATATTTTATTTGCCACAGTATGCCAAGAATGTCAAGTTCATTTTACATAGAAACATTTTTTTCACTACAAACTAACAATATTATCCTTTACTATCTGTTTCTATTAGCATTCTTTTCTAAGTTTCCTTACCATAACTTATTCTAAACTCTATTTGGATTTCAAGGTTTTCACAATCCAAGTTTTCCAAACTCTTCTCATAAATCAAATTAAAATGTTTCTGCACATTACCAATGTAATCGTATCAATATTGCAAATTCTTAGCTTGGATTTTATGTACCACTTAGATTTCTATCTATATAACAAACCTGGAAGTCTCTGAGTTAATATTCTTTTTTGCTTATACTTTGTGTGTCCTGATTAATTATCAGTTGGTCCCATTATTTCACCATTTGTGGAAATTCAGGTTATCATGATGGGACTAAAAAAGCCCCTCACTTTTCAAAACATAGAACAAAGATCTGTCCCATATGTCTTCATGTGTGACCATGACCTATGTTTAAAGTTTCTATAGTCCCTTAATAGCATCACTTTTCATAGCAACATGAACCTTTCAAGACACATTCAAAATACTAACTACACTTGTTTTAATTTTAAAGTTTGTATTCCATCTCAAAGTACCCATGTATTTTCTAATTTTCTTAATAGGTTTTGAAAACAAGTTGAAGCGCAACTCTCAGATTTTGTAGTGCATGACTTTTGACATATTTATATAGTATAATATGCAAGTATTCATAAAATAAATAATTAAATGCTTGCCAACTGAAAAAATAAAAAATTAAAATTAAAAATTAAACTGAGAATTGTCATCTGCTTGAACAAAGGTATATGTTTCTGATTAAATAAAAGTCTGGCCTGTTCAGTTTTTCTTCTTACATTAGAGAGATAGTTCCTAAATAATTTTTTTTTGTTTATCAGATTCCAATATCAAATTTACTTTCCAGGATTTTAATGACCCAGTTGGACTTCTTAGTTGGAAGGGAATATCATTGCTCAAAAAAAAAAAAAAAAGATATATAAAGAGATGTTTAAAGCTAGATGAAAAGAGTACTTCTTTCCCCTCTCTTCAGAAAACAAATGACATCACTGGACTCAACAGATTCAGATATCTGCCCACTTCACTATCTTCTTAAATTATTTTTAATTAAATAATATCACTAACACAATGGTCTTTCATTTCTATTTCATTAGATTATATTTCCTCAAATGATGTCATCTCAAGTCTCAAATGTATATAAAAATTTGCAACACTTTGTTTTTAATTTTTGTTTTATCACCTTAGTTTTTTTTTGGTGTCATTGTTTTCCAATAATGAATTCAAATACTGATATAATTCTACCTAGATATAAAAGTTAACATTTCCCTTTCTTGATATATAATAATCTGGGGCACAAAATAAAGTTATTACATTTTTCATAGAGAATTGCTCATCTCAGAAACTCTGTTAATGTTTAGTTATTTATGCAAATAAAACACACTGGAATATGATATATTTGGAGAATGAGAATTTCTGTTTAATAAAATATTCTTGTTAAGGTAGATTTACCCTTTCTAATTATGATTCAGTGATTCATATTTTCATCTGACATAAAAATATGAAAAGAACTTGCAGAATTGGAGAAGGTATTTGCAAATCATATTCTTGTTAGGAACATGGCATATAAACTGTATAAGAAATTCCAAGTCACAATGAAAATATAAGCCTAATTAAACATAGAAAAACAATTTGTACAGAAATTTCTACAAGAAATCTAAGATGTGGTGGTGCCCTTATAATCTCATTATGAGGGACATGAAAAGTAGGAGAATCAATATTTCTGTGTCATTTTTGGGTATTCACTAAGTTCAAAGCCAGCTAGGCTATATGAGACTCTCTCAAAAATACATAAACTTAAAATATAAATCTTTTTTAGCTTTCTTCATCCTTTAAAATATTTTGTTACATTTATTTATTTATTGTTGTAAGATCACCAGTACATACATGTAGAGAGATAAAAGACAATTTGTGGAAGTGGTTCTCTTCTTCTACCATGTGTATCATGGGGATTCAACTCAAGTCTTCAGGCTTGTCAGCAAAGTGCCTTTACTGGCTGAGGCATCTCACTTAACTCAGAAAACAGCCTTTTTTTTTTTAAACAAACAAAAAATCATATAAAACCTGATACAAAAAACAACTAAAATCCCATTAAAATATGCTAGCATCACTAATCATCGGTTAATGTAAATCAAAATTATAATGAAATGTTAATTTGCACCCACTAGCCTGAGTATTAAAAAGATAGTAATAAGATGCTACATGAGATCTGAAGCAGGAAATGGAAAAAAAACAGGAGGGGTGTCTACTTAGGGATAGGAATGAAGATGATGGTAAACTAACTCTAAGAATATCTCCAACCAAGGACCATGCATGGAGATAACCTAAGACCCCTGCACAGATGTAGTCCATGGCAGTACATTATCCAAGTGGGTTCCATTGTAATAGGAACAGAGACTGTCTCTGACAGGAACTGATTGGCCTGCTCTTCAATTACCTCCCCCTGAGGGGGAAGCAGCATTACCAGGCCACAGAAGAAGACAATGCAGCCACTCCTGATGAGACCTAATTGACTAGGATCAGAAGGAAGGAAAAGAAGACCTCCCCTATCAGTGGACTTGGGGAAGGGCATGCATGCAGAGGGTGGAGGAAGGGAGGGATTGGGATGGGATGAGGGAGGGAACCACAGGGGGGATAGAAAGTGAATAAAGTGTAATTAATAAAGAATTAAAAAAAGAAATCAAACTAATAACTATCTACCTAAAAATAAACTATAATACACAAAAGTGTATGTGTGTAATTTAAATGAAAAATTTTCATTTAGACTGACAATGCTTTCTCCAGTAGCCTAAGATCATTTAACCAATATCCCAATACCCATTTTAATAAGCCTTCCTTTGAGATGCTGCCAAAGAGACTCTCAAAAGTATCACAGACCATTGGTTGCCACCCAGGAGTGAAAGTCCCTAAATACAAAACACCATGTACTTCAGACACAAGTCTCAGAGGCCCCTGAACTGGAGCCAACCTAAAACCTTACTCCATAATGACTATCTAGCATGGGACCAGAAGGTGCTATGCAAGTTTCTAAAGGATAGAAGCAACCAATAGACCTATGTAGGTATGATAGCTATGAATAACAGCAATAGCCAAAATGGTACAACAACTCAAAGTGTGTACGGAGTGTCATGTATGGCATGGAAGTAACCAATAGCTCTCCAATTGACCTTGACACCTACAACAAGAGGAAAATCATGCCTGGTACTTGAGTGTAAATATGCAGAGGTACAAACAACAAAAATTTTCCATGTGAAAAGCAGTCAAGAATGTCGACCCTGCCTCTAAAGGTGTTGCAGTTGTGACTGCTGTGTCACATGTGTGTCAGTATTTGCCAGAGAAGAGATAAGCTATATCTAAGATCAGTGTTCTGACCTACAGACACCTGAATGATTAGTAGCCTAACATTCCCTGGAAAAAACAAGCCTGAGATGACCACAAGTCCTGTTCCACGGGTCCTAGTCAGCAAGATAGCCAGAGACGACCTCCAGTCTGCACCATGCAGGACTGGGAACAAGCAAGAGACTAGAAGACACAATGTGGGACTGAGGGACCCAGGTTTGGAGTGGGAGTAATGAGCCCAAGACAGAAGACCCTTGCATTGGGCCACTCAGGAAGGCCAGGTAAGAAATAAACCTGAGATGACCATCAGACCAGCACCATGGGTCCTGGACAAGGAGCTAGCCTGAGACAGGCACAAATAGTGAACCACACTAGCCTGGGGTGTCAAACTATGCTCAAGATGACTCATTCCCAGTGCCATAAACACAAGTGAGGCATAACACTCCTGAGATGACACCAGACATTCAGAGACATTTAATCTCTAAGAGGAGCAAGTAAGTGATGAATAAAATGAAGAGAAAGAGAAACAGAGGATATGGGTGCAATGAAGACAGGCAGAACTGGAGAATAGAGGGGAGTGAGGAAGAGCCAGATGTGAGTAGTTAGTGATCCCACCTGGGATCATGGTGAGGTCCTGGCCTGTGCTGCTACCAGGGACAACATCTGGGCCCATGTTTCTGAAATAGCAGGAGTCTATTACAACCAAGGGTGTCCCTGATCTGGGTTGCCACCTAGAGACATGGTGATGGCTCAGGGTTGTACAGAACTGACTTCTCCCCTCACCTGGGTTGTGGGAACATGGAAGCAGGAGAGCTTACCCCACACTTAGCCAGCTACAGTATTCAGGATAGCAGCCATACACATTGCAGGAGTTGTGGCTGAGCTGGCCACCAAGAATATGAGCATGGGAGAGTTGTCTTAACATGCTTCTATGATGCAGTGGTGTGGATGAGAGACTGATATCCTCCTTACCCCTTTGACCCTCATCACTTGTGGCAGGCAGGAGACCTGGCCCTGAGGTTAAGACAGGAGGAGAGTTGATCCTGCCCCTCATCAGCTGCAGCACTAAATTGCAACATTTGAGAGAGTGAGCCATACTTGTGCAGCACAACAGTGTTGATCCTGATGACTGGGGCAGCAGTGAGCCAACCCTGAGGGTGTGAGTCAGAGAGCTGTCCCTGCAACTTGTCTGCTTTGTGGTGACACGGGCAAGGGAGAGATGACCTCCTGCCTCTTCTCTTGCCATCCACTGGCAGCAGGACTGTTGACCCTGCTCATCATGTGCTATAGTACTTGGAAGAGAAAGCTCTGCCCCTCACTTGATGCGGCACTCAGGAGAGCAGGTCCTGCACCTCACCTGAGCAGCACAGTCGGGCTCACCCTGGATGTAGGGGTTGCAAGTGAGCAAGCACCATGGGCATGAATGTGAGAGAGCCAGCCCTGCCTCTGCTCTGCTGGGCAATGGCATGAATGAGGGAGAGATGTCCTTCTCCTTTCCCTTGTCCCTTGCCATCTATGGCGGGCAGGAGAGCTAGATTCTGGGTCATGAGAGTAGGGGAACTGGCCATATCCCTCACCAGCTACAATACTTAAGCAGAGCAGGTGTTTCACCTCACCTGAACATCAGGGTATAACTGGTCCTGGTAGTGGGGGTTGTTGGTGAGCTAGCCCTAACGTCATGAGAATGGGAGAGCAGAATACTGAATAGCTCAAATACCTCTCAGGCCCAGGTCCAGGACTTTGAATTGGCCCAAAATCTACCCCATCCATGAACTGCTGAAATGCATGAAGGGGCTGGTCCTACAGATCCAACATTATAGGATCTCCATGACAAAGAGTAATAACAAAATATTCGAGAGGAGTTCTAGTGAGAATCCGCTGTAGATAGAGTAGCAGAAGCCAGAGGCCTCTTACCAGACCAAGAAGTCATTGCAATGAACATTTGCAAGGAAAGAAGTGTTGAAAAAAGGATTTACTATGGGAGACACTGTGACACACAACAGCTTCCACAATGAGATTTCTTTTTCTATGTTGATGGGGAGGTTGCAAGGGTGGACGGTAGGTACAAAGGGAGGGGGAGATGAGTGGGGTTGGGGTGCATGATGTCAAATTCACAAAAAAAACAACCAAACAATAAAAAGTAAAAAAAAGAATATCCACAAACAAGCATGTAGGTGCACCCATGCAAGTTCAGGATCAGCAATAGTAATCACTGAAGTTTTGGGCCCTCTGTAGATTTTCCAAGGAAGGTAACCTGGAGAGATACCAAGTAAGCTATAGAAAAGCTGCCAGGCCCTTGGTAAAAAATAGGTAGAAAGATAACCATGTTACCACATGTTGTAGAGGACTGGAGTAGAAACATGGTACAGAAATCTGAAGCAGAGTAAGTAGGCTGAAGCATATGTGGAAGGCAATACTCCACTTATTAGCCAAAAAGCAACATAGGAAAAGGTGATCTGTGCTCAGTATTCTATGGTCTTACAAATGGACATAAGTTTTCTCAGAGTGCAGGGAATCATATGAAAGAAGGGAAGTTAGTATGATATGGAAAGGATAGGAGCTCTACAAGGACCAAATATATCCAGGCACAGGGTCTTTTCTGAGACTGACACTCAACCAAGGACCATCTATGGATATAACCTAGAACTTCTGCTTGGATGTGGCCCATGGTAGCTCAGTAACCAAGTAGTTTTCCAAAGTAAGGGGAACATGGACTATTTCTAACAGGATCTCAAGGGCAGGCTGTTTGACCTCCCCCCCCCCAGGGGAGGAGCAGTCTGTTAGGCCACAGAGGAGGACTTTGCAGCCAGCCCTGAAGATACCTGATAAAACAGGGTCAAATGAAAGGGAGGAGGTCCTCCCCTATCAGTGGACTTGGAAAGGGGCAGGGAGGAGACCAGGGAGGGAGTGTGGGGTTGGGGAGGGAATGAGGGAGCGGGATACAGCTGGGACACAGAGTTAACAAAATGTAACTAAAAAGAAAAATAAAATTAAAAAAAAAGAAAATTAAAAAAAAACCAAAGTCTGAAATTTTCATAAAACAAAACAAAACAAAACAAACCATACCAAGCCAAACCAAACAAAAATCATCAGATCCATGCAGAAAGAACACATAGTGTTAAAGCTACATATAGATAGGAATATACTTCCCTTTCTGCCTCAGGTCCTCAGACATTGCAAACTACCAATGGAAAATAGAATCCTAGTGTCACCAAAAGGAAAGCTTAACTGGTAGGCAGAGATGTCAGATCGAGTTGCTCATACAGAAAGCTGAGTCTAATACAAAGGAAAGACAAACAAATCTAATAACTTATTTGTGTAAATAAGACTAGCAGCTGTATCATCTCTCCATCTGTAGAGACAGCTGCAACAAAACAATGAAAACAAAACAAAGCATGCTGCCTAGCACACACACACACACACACTCACACACACACACACACACACAGACACACTAGCTGAAAAAATCAAACCAGGAAGCTATACTGTAAACATAGACAAACTACACAAAGGTAATTAAAAAAAAATCACCACAATGGAAAACCCAAGACTGCACAGAAACACTGTTGAATTCTACTAAAGCTTTAATGGGAGACACAACACCCATGATTCTGAAGCTATTATATAAATAGAAAAAAGAAATAATTACATAAACTCTTTCAATGAGACCAGTTTATCCTTATACTAAAAAAAAAAAAAAAAAAACAGCAAAATAAAGGAAAACAGTATAAGACAACAAAATAAAGAAAACTATTGTAGTCGTTATTTTGTTCATTTATTTGATAAAATACAGGATACAAGTGACTTGACAGAAGTGTTTTATTTTCACTCATAGTTTGGAGGTACACTTATTCATGGCATAACGTCCTAAGGGGAGGTAGCTGGTTTCACTCAATTAATACTCAGAAAGTAAAGAGAGTTGAATACTGGTGTTGTAGAGTCTTTCTTTTTTATGTTCAGGATTGAGCCCCAGGCCATGGATTGGCACAACCCACATTCATGCTGAGTGTTTCATCCTCAGATAAACATTCTGGAAACATCATCATAAACATATCCAGCGGAGTATTTACATGGTGATTCTAGATGTAGTAAAGTTGATAATGAAGATAAACCATCATAACTAAATAAAAATTTCCTGACAAACACAGACTTTACTTTTCACAATAAAATAAATGCAAACCAGGTTAAGTCAGGCATGACAACTGAGTTAGTGGCAATGCAGAATTGCTAACTTGGTCCAATATATTAAAATATAACTGGATCATTTTATACAAATATAAAACAAGTAAACGCAATGGAACACGTAAGTAGATCGGAGGATAGAAACTCTATGATCATCTCGATAGATTAAGAAAAAGGCATTTGACAAAGTTCTACTGTTTTTATTGAGCAATAACATGAATAAACTAGGAAAAAGATAAATGTAGTTTAACAGAATAAATTATACATATCAAAAAACTCTATCTAACATTATATTAACTAGAAAAAATTGAAAGTGTTTTATGTAAAATTATGAGTAAAACAATGATATGCAATCTTTCTTCTCTCATTTAATACTTGGCTTGCAGTATTATCTAATGCACTAAGGGAAGAAAAATTAATAAGAAAGTCATAGATTGGAAAGGAAAAATGTCATGCCAAATAGCTATTGTGAAGAGTGATCTTGTATTTTAAAGACTCTAAAAAGTTTACCAGAATGGAATAGATGTTTTAAAACTAAACCTCCCCAACCCTAGCCATCTAAATTCACCAAAAGTAACATAACTATATTGGAGAGGAGAGAACCTGTTCATCAAAATGTTGCTTGAAAAAGTAAATATCCACATGTAGAATAATGAAGCATATCCACCTCTATTACCCTGTACAAAATTGGCCCCAAATGGATCAAAGATCTTATTGTACCACCTAAAAATCTGAAACCGATAATAAGTCAAAATACAGACATTGGCAATGAGTTTCAAAGAAATGTTCCATTAGCTCAGAAAACAATCTTAAAAACTGACAAATACAATTTTGTGTCACTAAAATTCTTTTGCACAAGAAAGAAAACAAATATCAAAATGAAGA